TATGTATGTATGTATGTATGTATATGTATATCTGTAAGTATGTATATGTATATATATATATATATATGTATATAAATATGTATGTATGTGTATAAATATATATACATATAAATATATATATATATGTGTATATATATATATAAACGCTTTGTGCAAGATGCATTTACATATGATGTATATACATGTTTGATTTTGAAAAATTACTTGTAGAGTGGTTTTGAATGAACTGTATCTGAAATTTATTTCTGTTGATCTGTCAATGGCTTTTGTGCGTGCTGCGGTGTGAAACAATTGGCGGATTGCACGAGTGTGTGTACGCATACACGCACTATCAATATATAAGCCATACACGCCCATGTATGTGTGACATATCATTCGTTTTTGATTCGTGACCATTGTATTGTAGTGATGTAAAAACAGAACCTGAATATATGTTGGTCATGAAATGTTTGATGCGTTGCGACATTCCGCACATGCCACGTGTGTCCGTTACTATCATCTGATGCCTTATTTGCGCTCTCTTTATATTCGGACTAGTATATTCTTCTGCATGTTATATACACATTCGTAGCCTTTATGGTAAGATTAGAGTGGATGGCCGGGTGTTGTTAAATATGATTGGATCGTAGAATTATGGCAACAGGCTGCAAACGTATTGAATGAATCCTTTTGTATCCCTCAGAGTAGAACAGCGATACGGAAAGAAAACCCAGAAGTATCAATAGTTTTTATGTTTCTAACTGCATTCGACCGAAGCATCGAATATATACTTGTACATTATTTCTTCACCCGGGTTTTAGAGATCTATGTCCAGTTTATATCTCGATTTAGATGAGACTAGTGCTCGTACAATCGTACATCAAGATATGTGGTATTCATTTTTATTTATTTATTGAGCGAGAGAGAGATCAAATTCCCCAAATTCCTGATTAATGATTATCCGTCTCTTAATGTTTTATTTTTAGGTACATTCAACCGCAACAACGGATCTGCATTCGGGGGAGTGCTACGCAACGATCGTCTTAAAAACTTTGCCACTCTCACTTTGAGTGGTGTTTTCACGGACAATGTGGTATGTTCTAGATAGTCCTAGATTATGTAATATACGTATAGTGGGTTATTTGTTATGTATAATCCATGTATTTCAGCTTAGATTATGTATCATATGTAACTTTGGTTTGTGTATGATGTATCATTTATATCTTAGGTTGTGTATCATGTATCATGTATATCTTAGGTTGTTTATCATGTATCATGTATATCTTAGGTTGTGTATCATGTATCATGTATATTCTAGGTTGTGTATGATGTATCATGTATATCTTAGGTTGTGTATCATGTATCATGTGTATTTTAGGTTGTGTATGATGTATCATGTATATTTTAGGATGAGTATGATGTATTATGTATATCTTTGGTTGTGTATGATGTATCATGTATATTCTAGGTTGTGTATGATGTATCATGTATTTCTTAGGTTGTGTATCATGTATCATGTATATTTTAGGTTGTGTATGATGTATCAAGTATATCTTAGGTTGTGTATCATGTATCATGTATCATGTATCGTGTATATTTTAGGTTGTTTATCATGTATCATGTATATCTTAGGTTGTGTATCATGTATCATGTAAATTCTAGGTTGTGTATGATGTATCATGTATATCTTAGGTTGTGTATCATGTATCATGTATATTTAGGTTGTGTATGATGTATCATGTATATCTTAGGTTGTGTATCATGTATCATGTATATCTTAGGTTGTGTATGATGTATCATGTAAATTCTAGGTTGTGTATGATGTATCATGTATATCTTAGGTTGTGTATCATGTATCATGTATATTTTAGGTTGTGTATGATGTATCATGTATATCTTAGGTTGTGTATCATGTATCATGTATATTCTAGGTTGTGTATGATGTATGATGTATATCTTAGGTTGTGTATCATGTATCATGTATATTTTAGGTTGTGTATGATGTATCATGCATATCTTAGGTTGTGTATGATGTATCATGTATATTCTAGGTTGTGTATGATGCATCATGTATATCTTAGGTTGTGTATCACGTATCATGTATATTTTAGGTTGTGTATGAAGTATCATGTATATCTTAGGTTGTGTATGATACATCATGTATATCTTTGATTGTGTATGATGTATCATGTATATCTTAGGGTTAAGGGTTTAGGAAACATGTATATAGTATTACACGTGTAATAGTGGACTACATGTGTAATATAATATTATCACATGTGTAATAGTGGACTACATGTGTAATATAATATTATCACATGTGTAATAGTGGACTACATGTGTAATATAATACTATCACTTGTGTAATAGTGGACTACATGTGTAATACAATATTTGTATATAGCTTAATTCATATTATTGCACATTATGCACAACTTAAATCATGCGTACAGTTTACCTAAAATTGAAGCTATATGCTTTTACTGGAAGTACAGCGCAATTTGATTTTGATACCAATGTGGCGAATTTCCAATTTCTAATAAAGCCTTGGGATTCGATATCCCAATTATTATATTACATATTATGTTATACTACTTTATGATGAGCAAGTGACCGAATGCTGATGCAATTTCCATACAGCGTGAATTTCCCGGTGGAGCGCAATGCCGTAGACGCCATAATGAAGCGATACTAGTCGAGATTATGATGTAGCATGCCTATCCACTATTATATACATACACGCACAGTCTAAAACTCCCGCTAACACCATTTAATCCCTATTTTCGTCGTACAACAGGCCGACACAGGCACCGTAGGCGATATGCGGGGGTTTGAATCCAATAGCGTTTTTGAGTTCACTCCTCAAAATATGGACCCGATTCCGGACGACACCATTGTGTTCTCATCGGATGACGCGGTCTGTGGGGTGGTGGATGTAGGTACGGGTGCTATCAAGTGTGAGAACTAAGATATTTGGGTTAAAAATAGAACAGTGTACACGGATGGGTTAAAAATAGAACAGCGTGCACGGATGGTGTAGCAATAGAAAACAGAACAAAGGAAGGGCAATTATGAGAACAGAACGGGGTGCGGCGGCTGCACGGGTAGGGGCGTCTAGTGGTACAGATCATGTGGCATAGAAACCCAGACCATTCTGCCAGTACTGCTAGCTGGACACACACATTCACACACGCAGACACACAAACACATACACGTATACATACGCAGACACACAACACATACACATATACATACACAGACACACAACACATACACATATACATACGCAGACACACAACACGTACACATATACATACGCAGCGGATGCTTGCACACGTCAATACAACACATCAATACACGCACGCAATGCCACGGGTGTCCGGTGTCACCTGCACTGTATTGTGCACTTGCGACATATGAGCGTTTAGGATTTCTCATGGCATCGCTGTATGGTAAGGTGCTCATTGCATATGATCTGCCGCGGGGTTGCGGCAAATGGCATGCAAGCACAGCACCATGAGTGACACCGCTTTTTAATACACGTGTAGACCCTGATCAGATGGCAGTCAGAAATGTGCTCGACTCAGTCAGGTGACCCGCATCAAGGGTGTACGCTATCTTGTCAAGAACATACAGACCTCGAGGGTCGGTGGACTTTGAGTTGCGAGCCTTATTCTATAGTCCTTTCTTGTGGTTTATACCAGACGATGGTGACGCACATGTGTGTGTGGTGATGTAATGCGGGGACGTGGGCACGTCTGCGTGCGCGGGAAAGCAATACACATTCTACTTTCAAAGCACGGTGGAGGTCAGGCGTAGACAATTAAAGAGGATTAAATTTCTGAGATTGACAGAGACAGAGCGCTGTAGGGATTGGTGGAGCGCATTGTTAGGAGACATAGACTGTGTGGAGATGTGTGTAATGGTGGCTGTGAAGATGGAAACACCGGCAGTCGTAGAGGTATATGGTAGTATATGAGGAGAGAAGATTCGTACAGCTAAATCATGGCTGCATGGCATGGTATTTGGGATGAAAGTAAACAGTGCCAGTGTAGCGATGAATCTTTGGGGAGCAGGTGGCCGATTCAGAAAGCACAGTACAAATTTGAATTTAAGGGTGGAAAATCGAGTAGGTTACCAATTCTGTAACAGAGAAAACGAACGGGCAGACATGGCCCAGAATACAAGGGGAAATGGTGGGGCTTTGAAAAGTGTGCAATTAGCCTAGTAATCTGGTAGTGGACAATTAGCATGGATCGGCTTAGGCGGAAGGCGATCATTGAACTCACCGGCAAGGCTTGTATGGTCCTTATTCGATTTTGGATATTAAAGTTGCGGATGCTAGATTAGAGCACATGTGTACGTACTACTCGATATAT